CACGCTTGTTTTGTGACCACTGCACGATTATTTAATACATTTCCTTTCTTTCGAACATGTCCATCAATATCGTTATTTGTCAAAACGATTTGTTTCCCATCGTCAATCTTCTCTTTGAAAGCGAACCAAAGAATAAGCAAGTAAAAAAAAAAACGTTTTTTTGTAGAAAGTAAAGATACGTTGTACACGTTTTATTCGAATGGCTTGAATTCTGAACTGCAATGTGGAAAAAAGACTCTGTAGATAAGTGTTTTCAAGTATGAAATCGACAACGAGAGCATGGATAACACTTTCGTAACGCTTCTTAATGGAGCATTAACCTTTGCCGGCCTTTGAAATAACCCGCGCGATTGCAATTAAGGTATTGATCGTAAATTCGTCCCCGAAGAACAACTTGTAGCGACGAGCACCTCGTAAGAAATCGATCCCTCTTTCGTACTTTCTCCGCCTCGATGCTGTCAGGAGCGGCGCGAGAGTCATTTTTACAAATCGTTAATTCGTTACCACTTTTTATAACTGCTTTTAATTGCACATCGTCTTCGTCGTTCTGATTTCTAAACACCTCTAATGTTGCATTGATCACCTTGTGACTTTTTTATTGTAATCTTTTTTGCGTCAATATATTTCGCTCTTATGTCATACGCTCCTAACTTTCATCAATATGCACATGTCGTTAACCATAATTTTATACATTTAATTTTATGAAGAGAACCTGCGACCCGTACTGTATTTATATGCACATGAACGAATACTTCTCATAATTTACAAAATTTCGATTAACATAAATAGGAAATGGCTTTTAATATGATGGGCGTCGTATCGACTTTATCGCGATTTTATCGCGGTTAATCATCGGCAATTTCGACGATTAACCCTTCCGCACTTGCAGCGCGGGAGGATGAAAGCGCGCATCTCCCGCATGAGGCATATGCCTACGTCCGTGGCGGCGAACGTGGGCAAGGGTTAATACCTTACCTCCGTCGTTCTCCGCCGAAATCATCGCGGAACGAGGCGTGAGAAAACGATTATGCCCGGCAAGGCCGCTCTTCTCTCGTCGAGGGCACCCGCCGATACATTATAATACATATTTATGCGTTTGATGTGCGCGCGTATGCGTCGCACGCGTGTGCGGCTGCGATGAGAAAGAAGAAAACAAAACTATTGGGAGCTAAAAGAAGAGAAAGAAAGAGAGATGGAGAAAGAGGCGCGGATACAGGACAGGTTGCAACAGTCCGAGGGTAGGGGGGGGGGGTGAATGCAGCGCGGCGGGTGGAGCGCGTCTCTTCCCCGAGAGCCTCGTAAAATGGAAATCAATTACATCTACACTTAACCACTTAAACTGGTTTCGCCACGGTCCTAAAGCCTGGTCTACTATCTCTCTCTTCTTCCTTGTCGCGTGGGGATGAGCAATGCGCACGGTTGGATACACGGAGGGAACGTACATGCGGTGTTGAGGAAGAAGAAGAAGGAGGAGGTGAGGAGAAAACGAGGGGAGGAAAGTATCGATGAGGGGGAGAAAGAAGAAAGGAAAGAGAGAGAAGACGTGTGAAGAGCAGCATGTATAGAGCAGCGCGCTAGAGGCTTCACTCTCTTCTCCTTCCTCTTCTGCTCGCGTACTCTTCTTCTTCTTTCTGTTACTCTTCGTCGGTCTGTGGCGAGCCGCAGATCATTCGTATCAACATAATTACAAGCTCGGGAGCCGCCTCTCTGTTTCTCTCACCTCGCTCCACCCATCACGACGTAACACACGATCGCTTTCGCGCCCCGGTGAAACCTTCGTTGTTGTCGTCGTCGTCGTCTTCTTCTTCTTCTTCTTCTTCATTGCGTCTTCTCTTTCGCGTTTCTCCCGAACGCGGATTTCTTCCAATCGACGACCACCGACTTTTGTCCTAGACGCAACGGTCGAATGTCTTCGATATAATTGATAATATTCATCGCGTGGAATTTAGTCATATACATCTTTGGTACTTTGTTTTACTTTGATGAGAAAGAAAAAAGATTTAATAAATATTTTTTTCACAAAGACTGATACAAAAAAAAGAAAGATTTGTGATTCACTTGGTCTCAACAACAGATATACAATATTTTTATAAATAAGGAAATATATCTTAAAATAACGCTTTTCTTATCTGTTACCATGTACAAATTAACGTTTCCGTTATAAGTGAGCGTCTAGTTTAGCGCCTATCTCATATTTCGTTGTATTTGGACAAAGGTTAAAGGGCATCGCGTGTCGCCGCGGTTACGCTCGATCGCGCGTAACATTTGCGGCTCGGCAACCATCTCGCAACGACGAAGATGGGGACCGCAGCGGCTACGGCAATACGAGCGACGTGCCGCTCCTGGTGCTCAGACTGTGGCGATCAGAACGGGAGAAAAAGAGAGAGAAAGAGAGAGGAGGTGTTAGTCATGGAACCAACTGAGCTCCTAAAGCGGCCGCATCTGAGAATAATTGCTCGCTGACAGGCCGTGAAATGAATTTATTTAATTTCAGATAGGTATAACAGAATTACACGGCAGTTGGAGGTGCGATGAAGCCTGGGTGGCGTAGCAAGAGCAGGGCAAAAGGTTGGTAACGTTCACCCGAGTTATCCCGCGAAACAAATGCAAAAGGTACAAAACTCCGGAAGCTGACCTTCGATCGTATATAAAAGACGATTGTTATACGGTAGAACTCGCATCTTTTGTACGCATAATACGATCCTCTTGATAATATTTTCGTTGAGATTTAGAACAAGAAGAAACTGTAGCTATTATCAAAAAAATATTTTTATAGGTAAATAATTTATTTATAAAGAAGAAAAAGGAGAAAGAACTGGAAATATAATGTGGAGGAAGAATAGGAACTGATTAATGAAAATTCATTTATTTTCACCGTGCTACATCAATGAATACTGAGCTATTAGTTACTACCATAAAAGATATCTTTATGTACAAATTACATCCATCTTGTGTGGCAAGACGCAATACTATCACGGTTTATGATACAATATCTCTTTCTTCTGTTATTCATGCTTGTTGTGCACACACGCACACACACAATCTCTCTCTCTCTCACTCACTCACTCACTCACTCACTCACTCACTCACTCACTCACTCACTAGCTCGCTCACTCACTCACTCACTCACTCACTCACTTACTCATTTACTCACTTACTCACTTATTTATTTAATCATTTGCTCACTCACTCACTCATTTACTCACTCACTCGCTCGCTCAGATTTACACATCTCATATATACACGTGTTCATATTCGCAATTATTACGTGACAAAAATTGTTTTAACGCGCATAAAAGAACTACATATGTACAAGTCCAATGAGATCGGAAATAGACAAGACAACTCGCATATTCGCAAGTTTTTCAACAAACAACCCGTCACTTCCTACGTGTGATACCGTAATTCCAAAACGCAAATTTTAGAGAGCAGTTTAAAAATTTTAAACTTTATATGTTTCCCTAGTTAAGGGAATTTTTTGGTTTCAAATTGTTCCCTTACTTATGAATTGTTTTTTTAACATTTGATGATCAAACAGAAAATAACTTTCTAAGTGTCACTATGCAATAAACTGAAAATCCCGTATGTGACACTTATGTGATTATTTACGTAATACGTAGGGAGTGACGAATTGTTCGCGATTCATTGATACGCAAACACAGAGCAAATTTAGTACGGAACGCGTTCGATTGTGAGAACGTATATCTAACGGGACATTAAAATTTGTCAAGATATCGGTAGTTTGCGAATATACTTCTTGAAGTCTATTCTGTATTTTATCAGCACAAAAGTTTTGTCAAGAATTGCTGATTACACATTTCGTTTGTCTCACACATAAATTAACAAAAATGACATTGTACACAGAATTACATCTATATGTATATTATATCTACGCGTTTACACGGTCTATACGATCAACACAGGCGCTGGGAATAGTTCTTTGGTTGCACCTAGATGTTACCTCTTTCGATATAAGATAAGTGTGTTATCCGCCACTGTGAACCGACCGCTAGGTACGACTACAGTCGATATTGTTCGACGCATGCGTTCACATTTTGAGATGACAATCGCAAGCTTCGCAACGCAATACGACGTATCGTTCTCAGTTGTTCTTTAGCGTTTGACAATGTGGAATTAATGTGATACACCGCAATGTAAAATTAAACAATCATGTTTGCAATATAAGTACATAGCGACTTTTTTACTATACATCAAAAAGAATAGAAATATATAATACAAAAGTATATTTCTAGTTTTTATAATAAATAAAAAAACTAGTTATGACATGTATTATATAATGATATATGTATTGTCAAATAATAACCTTTCTGTTTTTAATAAAAGTGAATGGCAGAAAAAATATTAGGTCAAATTTTATTATGTCACATTACGTTTGTCTTTCGGTATATATATTTTTATAGATATATAATATATAATATTTACCATACATATTATTAAAGAACATAATAATATATAGTATATATTACATATGTATTTCTAGTTTTTTATATATACAGAATGTTTATTTCACTCTCTATGCATTCATCTACTATATACATTTCTAGTATGTACAAAACATACTAGAACAAATTTATTTTAATTAGCATAATCATTATTAACTAAAAAAAATAATTTCAGTTACAGGATTATAGAAAACTTACATTTTTCTCTCGGTTTATGATAGTTGTTAAAATCCGTTACTGATTTGAATTATGGTAAATGATAAATTCTAGAGAGATGAAAAGTTTATCAGTTTTTTAAAGATTATACGTTCTTTTTTAAAAGGAATGTAAGAAATAAGCAAGCAGAAAAAAGATTACAATTCGAAATTAAGAAAGAGAAAATAAACAATTTTGTTGTAGTATAAATTATAGTAGAAAACGAATCAAATAAAAGAATTTTGGTTACAGAATAATAATAATAAAATAAATGATAAAAGAAGCACTTTATAGAAATTAAATCTTTAGTTAATTTACATTTTTGTTATATATTTGCCAATTCGATAATACTTTTTTTTTTTTAATTTTAGTGCATCACTAGCCGTGATGTTAAATTGTAAATAAATTTTATTCAATCCCCTATTTAATAAGTATATTCTCATATTTTATTCTTTGACGTAACAGTTGACAGCCGCAAGTTTTGTCTACGTATATCTGCGCGACTAGCAATTATCAGCCGGGAGAGTTTATTATTTACTCAGCTCGCAGACAAAACACGCGAATGTCCAAGTGACAAGTCGCAAATGTAGGTATCACGTATTTCCACATCGTCGGATCTGTGATTCGATTCGCATTATATAAACGATGAAACGCGTGCATGCCACTAGTGTTTGACATAGCAAACCTTCATCAGAACAAACAACATCTATTATAAAACTACTGACAATTCTATTCGGTATGTGATAAGTATCGAACATATACAGTCGAACTTTCATATTTCCGATGGAAAAGTCGTAAATAGTTTCATGATACATAGATGATAACCGAATCCGGTTCCAAATTCCGATCACAGACAGGAGGAAGAGGAACGATAATGCCGTTGTAGTCGCTGAGTCGCGAGCGCCAGCAGGGGTCGCTAATTGGGGGTGGTCGAGCGAACTGGTAGCGACGCTGGGGGATGCGAGCTAGCGGTCGGTTGATAGGGGACATACCTGAGGGCGACTGCGGGAGTGGCGGTGGGAGGCGAGGACCGTCGCGAGAGCATCGTGACCGGAGGCGGCATCGCTGGTTGCCAACCCCATGGTACCGTAGGGTAGCTACCGGTGGCGTAGGATAACGGAGAGCTAGCAGCAGCTCTACCGACAGCAGCAGCATATACAAAAGGCGAAAACCATGTTGATAACGGATGAGGACTGTTTTCCGATTGCTGTTGCTGCTGCGCGGATGTCTGATGATGTTGTTGCTGAGCGCCAAAAGCCGCGATCACTGCCGGTGATGACACAGTGGCGAGATGATCGAAGAGTCTCACTGGAGGTACGACGACTCTTCCCATTTGTTGCTCCATAAGTTCCATAGGATCTCTGAACCAAAAAGAAAAGAGAATACAAAATTTAAATATGTATATATATATATATATGTATATATATATATATATTAAGAGATTAAAAATCCAGTTAGATAGAAGATTTATTTAAAATCTAGACCATAAGTCTCTTCGGCGAATATCTGCGCTTGTTCGGCATCGGGAAAAGACCGAAGGACCGAACGAAGCAACGCTATCGTGTCGAGAGGTCGCGAACCTTTGCGCTTATCCCGCGTGAAACGGCGAGGAGATCGCAAGCAAATAAATCCTGTGAAGCCGCGGGAACGCGAGACAGCGAGATAAAATCGTTCGTCTTTAAGGCGAGAGAGAGGCGGCTCTTCGCCGCGACCGGCTGATTAATCGATCGACGTTATCGGCATTAATGGCACTTAAAAGGAAGTAAATCAATGAGATTCTTTCACGAACGGAGTCGACAGATGGAGAGAGAATGGCAGATAATTAAGACAAAACTTTTCTCTCATATATAGACGTACGAATGAGGAGGGGAAACCGATCGCGCGAGAATCGTCTTCCTTTCCCCTTCCCCGCAACGAAGAACGTAATAGATGATTTCGTGCGTTAGGCATGGGCTTAATTAGGGTTAATTAACGGGCAATTGTATGCGGACGCGCCTTCATTGCTTTGTTACTATTGCGGCAGAAACGCTAACGAGCAGATTATTGGTCGATCGCGAATGAAAACGCATCGCAAATGGCGCGAGGATCTTTCATCTTTCTCTCCTTTAGTTTCCTATCCCTCCCCGACGCTGACGATAATTAACGACACAAGTCTCATTGCGCGCGGAATCACGGCGAGTCACTTCCTACTTTCGTGATTACGCGCGGGAGCGGCGTGTAAGGATACGCCGATTATCGGCCGGTCTATCGCGATTATTAAGACTTCATTACGATATCGCGAGGCGAGGAACGGGGCTTCTTAATTGCTTTCGATTTCAGACCTCGCCGAGGTAAGACCGATTGCGCGCAAAGCGGACCGAAGAAGCGAATCAGAATGCTTGATGGACTCTTGACGTGGTCCCGAAGGGGTCTCCAGTTGTTTTCCGCCATTTAAACTGAACGAGTCGGATCGTTTTAAAAGTCGAAACGCTCATTTCGTTCAATTAGAGAGAATTTCAAGTCAATAATCCGCTTCGTTACTTTAATTTTACACTCGATTGATTCCCTAACTGTTTATTTCTTATGACGCTTTGCAATGGCGGATTTCACTGTTATACTATTAGAAAAACGTAACCGAATTTTCAATTCAAGCGATATTCAGAGCTATTTTTTTTTTTTGCCCGCAATTTTATAAATTTTTACTAATAAAATCTGAGTTGATTGTGTAAACAAAGAGAATAAATTATTAATATATAACTCGAAAACTCTTGCGAAAAAAGTTATGTATAAAAAGCTGAAGCAATTTCTCTGACATAATTTTGAGTCGGTCTGAGTTAATGATATTTTATTCGGAAAGGATACAGAAAAACGTGTCGGGAGTTCTTCCTGTTACCGTCGAGAGCAAAGTCCATTAAGCAGTCCATTAAGAAAAGATCTTCATTCTATGTGTTTTTTAACGTCCTTTCAGGACACAAGTTCTCGCTTGCCTGTTTGGTTTCGTGCTTTAAGACGCGTCGATGGATAACCTGCCAAGCGCTTCTTCGCGCTTCTCGGAATTCAAGTGGTAGAAAGACAACTTGATGCTAGTATCCTGCCGGATAATTTGAGTACAAGCCACTGACGAATGATACCTTCTATCGATCATTCAGTTCCGCGAACCGAGATACACAAGGACGTCTTTCATAACCGCGACGTTCAATACCACAACGTTTCGTGCATGAAATAATTTAAGGACGTGCATAATAAAGAGCTCTTCACGATATATGTACATATATATACATATATATTCGTCCCGCTCTTATACTTGGATCATGTCTTCAATTTGAAATAAACATTTGCACGAGCACATAAAGCTTTCAATTTTTTTCATTAAGAAAAAAATAGCTTTTTATTACAACGGAAGCGATAATAAAATAATTTTCTTATATATATATGAAGAAAATGATTGTTTGGTCTTACATTATAAGGGCAATTGTCGCTCACGGGACATTCGGCGCGACACGAAGCACTTCATCACCTCGGCAGACCGACCTCGTCGGACCTGTACAATTCAATCTCCACAGACCTTCGTAATGATTCTGTCCCCGTGGACCAGAGCCAAGGGGACCGAGTCTCGCGGGTCTAGTTACTCCAGAGGTCACCGGGGCAAGCGACACTGAGCTTGAAGGAGAGAAGGGTCAAGCCTTTTGCTCGGTAGTTTCGAGCACGTCGACGACGGCAAAAGTCTCGGCTCGTAAAATTGTAAATTCATGGTGTGAGATAAAATCACCGTGACGAACACGAGTCTTGCTGCATAAAAAAAAAAAAAAAAATAAAAGAAATTGTAAAAAATGAACTGAAAGAACTCAAAGGGACTCAATCGCAATTACGTCCTTGACTGAGAGAATCCTGTCCAAACTTCATCGGCTACCGGATGTGGAGACAATTGAACGACGAAAAAATAAATTTGATTTTTCTTTCGAAATTCTTTTGAAGGGTTTTTTTTTGAACGTACGACAACCAAAGAAGAAAAATTCAAAGAATTCAATGAGAAAGTTCATTTTATTTTTCTTCCACACATCACTAGAGAAAGTTTAATCTGTTTGAAAAAAGCAGACCGTATATTCCTTGATAAAATGAGAGCTATCGCATTTCCATATCCGGTACGTGCAATATTCCATATCGAGCGAGAGTATCGATACCCGATCGAATCAAAAGAGACGGGCAAGGGCAAATCGAGTCGGAGCAGAAAAGAGGCCCACTCGCGAGCAATCCGGGGACCGCGACGAACGACGACGGGGGAGAACGGTGGCTGAAGGAGAAGGAGGCAGAAATGTTGGGGGAGGCTCGGGGAACAATGGATCCGGTGTGCAGTTCGCGCGTCTCGGTTACCGCTCGCTTGTACCGCTTAACACGTAACACGACACCCGAGGAGGCGCACGAGCACGACACATACACACTTACTCATCACACAAACGAGCGCGCATGTGTGTCTAAAATGCACACGGAGTATCGTGCACGCGGATGTGTAAGAGTAAGCCTCGAGCGGAAGGAGGAAGAAGCTGTGGAAGGTGCCCGGAGGTTCTCGAAGAGCTCCGCAGGGTGAAACCAACGACGGGAGAAACCAGGGAAGGAGGGATTAGAGGCCCCGGGGCTAATCGCCGTCCATTCGAACGTGCCGGACCACACACCGTTCGTCCGTTCGTCCGCGGCCATTCCTCTTCTCGTTCTCGTGAAATATCGCTGTCAAGGGCCCGAACTCTATTAGCCGCGAGTTCCGCGAGTACCCGGAGGTACTGCCCCTTCGTTATCGATCTGCTTGGATCGATCGTGATCCGAGATCCCGCGGATAGGAAGATCTTGAGGGGTAGGGGCAAGAGAGCCAGTGATTTAGGCGGATCCTCGACGTGGATCTCGATCGCGATTACTGAGCTCTGCTTTGAAGTCGTGGATGCACAAAAGAATGTTACGTTAAATCACAGTCTATGCAATCTCCGTTGTGATTTAAATGTATATACAACAACTACATCTTCGTACTTTTTTCTTCACGTGTGAGAATGAGAATAATTAGTTTTTTTTCGCGCGCCGCTTCACTTTCGTGAGATACGCGTAATATCATGTAGAATAATTAAAAATTTGTTTTGAGAAAATAATTATCAATAACGATCAATTCTAGAACGCACACCGTTCGTCACACTCGCAATTTCGTCAATGTTCGGATAAGACGAAGCCAAACCGCAGAAAGCGCTAAACGCGCGCGCGCTACCGTCCGCCAGCGTGGCGCGCGATCTCTCTCGGTTGTCTCGAAAATAGCTTAATCATGTGGCTCGCTGAAAAATCCAGAAATCAAATTACACCGTTCACTCGTGGAGAGAGCAGAAACAGGGAGGCAGTCCCGACCATGAGCGCCGCTCAGTTCACGCCACGTCGCGTATATACCTGTGCGTGTGTACGCAAAACGGAAATGACGCAGCGCGGTCTCCTATGCATTAAGGCCCCGGCTGCAATTGACGGCGGCGCAGCGCCGGAGTGTTACTAGCGGAGCTTCTCTCTCTCTGCCTCGGCCTTGAATTATATCCTTAATGTTTTCATAAAGCTTCCTTATGTACAGACAATAAAAGTCCTAATTACAGTCGTTCGCCGTCCGAGAGATAGAGAGAGAGCAGCCCGCGGGTCCGCCGACCGCCTATTACTATTCGCGCTATACGCCGGGGCTCCCGTAATTGTTACACCGCGATAAATATTCCTCATCGATCTGACGAGTCTGCGTTTTCCTCCGTAATAGTGCGGTTACGGTCGAAACGTTCTAATTAGAGGCCACCGACGTTACCCTATTAAAATGTCCATGACGTTCTCGCGGTTACACCCCTCGAGTATCGCTGTCCGGACAAGGTAGAAAGAGAGATAGCGAGGCCGGGTCTATAAATAAGGAAGAAACGCCTGGCGCATACACGGCCGATTAGAATTTTTGCCTGGCCGCGCCGTCAGCGTTCGTGTTCGGACAAATTAAATCTATTAAAAGAGCGAGAGATCTCTCTCCTCTTCTTTCTCTCTCTCTCTCTCTCGTGCGCGCGCGCGCGCCACTCGAAGAGAGCCCGTCGACTCGCGCGACGCGAGAACTCGATGACAGGACGGGCGTTGAACGAATTTCAAATTATTCCTTAGAAAACGTAGAGAGATGGGAGATCGCTTAGCTTGGAGAACGTGAAGATTCGTGTTGTGCATAATAATTTAATTTTATATGTGACTACCTTCGTAATTCAATTATTTCCCAAAACAAATCAGCTAGATGGGATTGAAAATATAAAATTTTTATTTTAATATGGAATATTTTTGAACAACAGAAATGTGGACGAAAAAATAGTGTATTTGATGGATATTTTTCATCTTTAATTATAGCTCG